TATGTGGAAGTGTACAGGGTGTGCAGTACTATCCCGTTGCTCCCTCTTCTCTGGTGTGGGTTGTGTCTGCAAGGCATGTACAGGCAGCCCTGGCCTGTTCTCATAGTTCCTGGGCCATATCCTCCCATCTTATCTCTGTTTCCCAAGTTTTCCTAAGCAGAGATGACATGTTTCAGAGTGGCATGCTTCTGCATCAGCAGAGCTCCTTGCTCTGTGTGTTAGTGACCCTTGAAGTCAATCCTGGCTTGCATGCTGTAAGTCAGCCTTTGAGAAAACTCATTTGGGAGGTGACTGAGAAGGGGAAAGGGTGGCTCCATGGATGGACTGGCTTCTGGGTCTTCAGATATGTAGTGAGTCTACTCCTTGGGACTTTCTAATTAGTGTTTGTATGACTTTCAGGGTGTTGATTGAAGGGGCTTGAAGGGGCCACAAGAATCCTCTTGGCATAGAGTGACAAAGAATTAAGCAGGTCTAGCTAGATATTTGGTACCCATTGTTAAATAACGGGCTAGCTGAAACCTACAAGTGTATCAGGAAAATAACTTATTCTTGCCATGTACCTGTCAGTTGACAGAGAGGCTGTCTCACTAGCTTTACATGAGTTGGCTCCTGAGCTCATCCAAGTGGAGGATCAGTAGGGTGGGAACATCCACACTGACCTCAGTCATGTTGCTAGAGGCCGAGCCATTTCTCTTTTCCTCTTGTGTGGCCTCTGCTCCTCCAGCAGTCTAGAGTAAGCTACCTTATGTGGTGCTGTTAGGGCTCATTGAAAGCGAAAGCAGAAGCCATAAGACCTGCAAAGGCCTGGGCTACTTCTCCAGCGTCATCACACTGTTCTTCTGTAGGTTAAAACCAGTCAGACAGAGTTCATGTAAACTGGCCAACACAAGGGCACAGAGACACAACCATTGCAGACTTTTTGGTGATCACGTACTGTGAAGTAAAAGAGAAGTATAGAGTGGAATAAAGCTTGGATTCGCCTGTAGCAATGAAAGATGTCACTGTAAGAGGTAAAGAACACACACAGTTGGGCTGGGCTGGAATTCCACCTCTGCTTTATCCTAGCTCTCTGATCATCATCATCATCATTATTATTGTTATTATTATTTTAGATATGGCTTTGTGTATCCTAGATTTGTCTTCTGATCTTCCTGCCTTCATCTCTTGAGTGACGGAATTGCAGGCATGCACCACCATGTCCAGTTTATCCAGTGCTAGGGATCAAAACTAGGATTTCTGTCATGCCAGACAAACACTGTGCCAACTTAGCTACAGCCCCAGACCCCCAATTCATAATCTTGATCAAATCATTTAGCCATTCTGTGTCCCCGATGTTGATACCTATCTTCAGAGATTGGAAATAGTGTGAATACAAATAGAATGCCCATCGCCACCCTAACACTTACTAAATACTCAAATGATTGTCTTTCATTCACTGTATAGATATATAATGGTGGGTGAGATACAAATTTGGCTTTTGGTTTTCTAATTCTGAGACAAAGAGATGGAAATCCTGAGGGCCAAGCTTCGTGTGCCCAGGCTGAGTGGGTACAATTGGTCAGAGGGAGCTATGTGTGTGAACACATTTGCTCTTGAATGGAGCTTTTGGGGAGTCCATCAGGTGCCTGACCCGGAGGAAGAGCAGGTAGCTAGAAGCTAGCAAGGTGGCCTGGATTGTCCGCAGTCCTCAAGCAGAATCCCAGCTTCCTTCTTGGAGTGAACTTGAGAAAAATTTTGTGCTCTCCAGAGTTTGTTCTCTTCTTGTTTACTAGAAACAAGTTTCTTTTACATGTCAATCCCAGTTCCCTCTCCCTCCCCTTCTCCCCTGTCCCCCTCACCCCCTTTCTGCCCCCCAGGGAGGGTGAGGCCTTCCATGGGAGATCTTCAAAGTCTGTCATATTATTTGGAGCAGAGCCTAGACCCTCCCCTGTGTGTCTAGGCTGAGAAAGTATCCCTCTATGTGGAGAGGGCTCCCAAAGTCCAGTGTACTAGGGTTAAATACTGATCCACTGCCCAGATCTCCAAACTGACATCCTCGATCAGGGGGTCTGGAATAGTTTTATGCTGGTTTCCCAGATATCAGTCTGGAGTCCATGAGCTCCCCCTTGTTCAGGTCAGCTGTTTCTGTGGGTTTCTCCAGCCCTCAACCCTTTGCTCATCACTCCTCCCTCTCTGCAACTGGATTCCAGAGTTCAGCTCAGTGTTAGCTGTGGGTGTCTGCTTCTGCTTCCATCAGCTACTGCATGAAGGCTCTAGGATGGCATATAATGCCCTTCCTCATTACTGGGGAAGGGCATTTAAGGTAGTCTCTTGACTATTGCTTAGATTGTTAGTTGGGGTCAAACTCATAGATCTCTGGACATTTCCCTAGTACCAGATTGCTCTTTAAACCTATAATGGCTCCCTCTATTATGGTATCTCTTTTCTTGCTCTCCTCTATTCTTCCCCTGACTAAATCTTCCTGTTCTCTCATGTTCTCCTCGCCTGTCCTCTTCTCCCCTCTCTTTCTTCTAGCTCCCTTTCCCCTTCCCCATGCTCCCAATTAGCTCAGGAGATCTTGTCCCTTTTCCCTTCTCCAGGGGACCATGTATGTCTTTCTTAGGGCCCTCCTTGTTTCCTCGTTTCTCTGGAGGTGTGGATTGTAGGTTGGTAATCCTTTGCTCTGTGTCTAAAATCCATATATGAGTGAATACATACCATTTTTTTTGGTCTTTTTGTGATTGGGTTACCTCACTCAGGATGGTTTGTTCTAGTTCCATCCTTTTTCCTGTGAATTTCAAGATTCCATTGTTTTTCTTCTTGTTTACAAAGCTGGGGCCATAATAGTGCTCAGAATAGGTGGGCCAAGAGGCTAGACAGGCAAAGCCCTTCTTCTGTTGTCCAGTGATTGTCAGTCAAGGAATATTTGCCCCTATCATTAGTTCTCAAGAGCCATTTTAAGGAATTTTTTTCCCTTTCTGGAAGACACACTGCATACTTCTCATAAATGGTTGGTGCACTCTCTCTCTCTCTCTCTCTCTCTCTCTCTCTCTCTCTCTCTTGTGTGTGTGTGTGTGTGTGTGTGTGTGTGTGTGTGTGTGCACGTGCATGTGTGCTCACTTGCACGTCTATGTGATTTGGGGTGGGGTACACATGTATATACCTCAGTGTGAAGGCAAGAGACTGAAGCCAGGTGTTTTTCTGGATTATTCTCTGCCTTATTATTATTTTTTTGAGACAATGTCTCTACTGAACAGCAAGCTCGTCTGGGATGACTGGCCAGTGAGCTCCAGGGATCCTCCTATATCTGTCCTGTCCTACTGATTGGTGGGACTATAGAATTGTGGTACCCAGCCCATGCCAGGCTTCTTATATGGGTGATGGGGATCTGAACTAACGTTTTCATGCTTGTGTGGCAGGCACTTTACCTAATGAGCCATTGCCCCAGCCCAGCTATTCTGCCATTCCTGTATTTTCCTTACAGGGTACCCAGACTTTCAGAGTGGATGCTCAAGTGATAAATTCTGTATTTAGTCTTCTCTTTGATTCCATACTGCTCTGTATTTTTCTAGATTTGAGAGCTTCCTTTTCTTTATGATTTAATTCTCCATTGGTCATAGAAGCTGACTGTAAACCTTTAAGAATTTCCAGAAAGCCATCCACGAGGCCCAAGTCACAGGTCTGCTCTTTTTTTTTTTTTTGCCCAGCTCCTGCCCCGACTCCCCAGGTTTCAAGCCCACTGAAGTGAAGTTAGGTTCACCATGCCTGCTGCCCTGGAAGTGGGGGAGGTGTTCTCTTCCCCTTTGCATCTTGCTGTGGTCTGATTTATGGCTGGAAAGGCTGGCCTTAGAGAGTCTTGATTTAAAGCCCCTGTCAGAGGTCATTACAAGAACGTGGTGCCCATAAAAGCTGTTTTCCTTTGCCTTTGTTTCTTGGTCAGCTCTTTCATGGCATGAAATATGAGGTTGGAAAATGAGGCTACCAAATTGGAGCTGGGAGAGCTATCCCAAGCCTCTGGTGTAATCCCCTTGAAGTTGTATTGGTGTTTGTCTGACAAGATCTAAGGAACATGGGGGGGTTACCTTTGGGGGCCATATGGTTTGTACACATCAGTGTTGTTTGTGATAAGGAAACAAACGCAACATTTTATCTTCTAAATAGTTAAAACAAACAGAATTTTAAAATCAAGCAACATTGCCTACTCCCCCCCCCCCCAATAAAGCTGCCGGCCAAACAGAGAAAGGAGAAATCAGGAAGAGAAGCCAGGGTAGTTTAGTGGGCAGGGTTTTCCAGTGAAGGGTCCTACAGGAGTGAGGCTTCTGTGGTGTGACTGCACCTGGCATAGGGCCCTAGTTACTGTCTGAGTCTGGTTGTGGATCTGGAGAGGCTTGGTTTGGCTGTCTGGACATGTTCACATGGTCCTGCAGCTACCAACTACAGACACCCTTCTGCCTCTACTGTTTCTACTCCTGTCTGATGGAAGAATCTGCCCATTAACTTTTTTTTCTTTGTCTACTTATGTTGGAGGGTGAAAGAAGCCAGGACTGGCTCTTGTTCTCACTTGGGTACAGAACATCACCCTGCATGAAGATGGTAGTCTGTGATTCTGTCCTGCTAGGCCTGAACTAGGGATAGGCATCCCAGCATCTGCTTGCAGGGTTGTCTGCCTACTGCCTCTCCTGATGCCTATAGACAGCGTGTCTGGACAGGGACGACTCTGGAAATGGAGGAACATTCCAGCTCCAGAGCAAACTGCTGCTTGGAGAAGTATCCATGAAGTCCTGGCTGGCTTGTTGCTACATGAGAACCTCTTTGGTGAAAGTGCTGATGAGCCCCTGGCAGTGTAGACGGCCAGAGGGAGGCTCTGGCCCTCTGGGGCTTTCACCTTGGCAGCATGCAAGACATGGTTGTCTGGGATGATTCATCCGTTCCTTGGGGGCAGGCCTGGTCCTGGCTATTTATTACAGATTCTGGACAGAAGGAGGCATAGCCATCACCAGAAGCTGCATCTTCTCTTACAGAGAAAGTCCATTCTTGTGACCAGGAGAGGCAAAGTGCCCTGGAAGAGGCCCGGCAGAACCCCCGTGAGGGCATTGTGATCCCTGAGTGTGCCCCAGGTGGGCTCTATAAACCTGTGCAGTGTCACCAGTCCACAGGTTACTGCTGGTGTGTCCTAGTGGACACAGGGCGCCCGTTGCCCGGGACTTCCACACGGTAAGCCCTCTTCTCAGAGCATCACCCAGGGACCAGCTCCTGGTTATGCTGTCATTATTGTTGTCACTGCCCTGCTTCTTCTAAGTCAGGTCACAGGAGACTGAGGTCTCCATTCCAAAGCAGGCGAGGGTGTAGTAGAAGTGCCTGGGAACCTGGATTCTGATCACAGACCCATTTCTTTCTAGCTGTGGACATTGGAAAACCACTCAATCTCTCTCAACCTCAGTTGCCTGATGAAAAGCTTATTGTACTGCCCAGGTTACGAACGAAGTCCTATTTGTAAAAAAGAGGTCCTATGTGCAGATTGGAGATGGCATTTTTATCACGCTTGTGTGGCTAAAATGACATGTCTGAACATGTCTCAATGGGAGCATTTATGCTGATTGTCTTGTAGCTTCTGGACAGTTCAGGGACTGTTTTGTTTTCTTCCCCGAGGGCTCTCAGCTTAGAGATTACATAGATCATTCCTGGGCAGTAGTGGCTGAAGAAGACTCAGTTGCCAACCCCACCTCCTTTTTCTGTCTCTCCTCCCAGCTATGTGATGCCAAGTTGTGAGAGTGATGCCAGAGCCAAGAGTGCTGAGGTGGATGACCCTTTCAAGGACAGGGAGTTGCCAGGTAGGAGACACTGCTCTGCTGGTGCTGACACCTTCACTTCCTTGGGCTTCCATCCCCTCACCATGCAGAGGCCACTCTCTCCTTTACATCTGCTTCCCCAGTTGACAGAACAGAGCAATGAATGCTGGGAAGGCCCATCACAGGAGCACAGACCTGGAAGCCATAGAATCTACATCCTGAATTAGTCCTGTGCCCTTGAGAACATTGCTGGACTCCCATGCTTTTCCCTCCTCATCTTAAAAGTGTAGCCACGGCCTTACAACTCTGTCCCTGGAATTTCATGGTCATTCTCCATGAAATCTCAGTGAAGTAGGGATGATAATTTAGGGTCTGTGAAGCTAAGGTAACTTATAAGGAGTGGCTTCCCTGAGGGATCTGGGTGGCGTCTGCCACCTGTTGTGTGGAATGCTTCTATGATGGTCCTTGGTGACATGGGATGGCCACTAGAGGTGACATGAGACATACTAGCAAGAGCCTAGGACCCGCCCCCCAAATTGCCACTGGGTTGGGTTTCCCCTTACTTACAGCAAACTAAGCATCACAATAAGGGGATATGGATTGTAGACTCTCCCCTGTAAATCCTTGGCAAGTCCCTCTTTTCTGTGCACCACTTCTAAAAGAAGCCCAAGCATAGGGACGCCTTCGCACAGGTTACCCTGTCTTAGATCTACATTCACATACAGGAGCATCGCTGGAGAAACACCCCCACACCTCTGCCGAGGTATGAGCCATCTAAGTTGGTGCTCACTGACAGTCTTTACTCAGTACAAAATTAGGTCTGTACTGGTGAGAGCTGGTGCCACCTTTCCAAAGTGAGACGTGAAAGCAGGCAGTCCCACAAGTCCCGTACTTTCCTTGTGAGGTTAGTAGAAGTCACTGTGTCATGAAATTGGAGGTAAGGAAGCCAGGGTGCCTTCTTCCAGCCACCCTTGACAGGATAGGGATAGCTACTCTTCTTCATGCCAGGTGTGCTTTCATCTAGTGTTCAGGGACGTGAGGGTCAGAGTAGAGGAGACAGCCATATGAAGGTAAAGGAAGGTGTGCATATATGTAGATTCAGGACAGGTACCCTCCAGAGAAGAGTGCGGCACTGTGAGAATGACAGTAAGAACTTACTTTTAGAGTCTACACTGCTCTGAGAGGCCATATTTAACTCGAGACCTCAGGGTTTGGAAGAGAAGGACCTAGCTGCTGCATGGGTAGGCGTGGGGTTACAGCTGTGCGGAGGGCCTCCTTGGGGCAAGTGAGTAGGGCTCCCATCTCTGCAGTGGTAGGGAGTGTTTCTCCAGCAATGCCTGGATCTGGGACAGGTGCACCTGTGACAAGACTTACCCGTGCTTGTCATGAAACAAGAATAAGAACTTGTGGGACTTCATGGAGGAGTCTTCAGTTATCATCTCGGCTGTGAAAAGATGGGCAAAACGAGGAGCTTTTATGATATGCCCACCCACATCAGCTTGCACCAGGGGGATTCTCTCCCTGCTTGCTGCTTCCTCAGCATCTGGTTCTTTGCCCCTTGAGCAGTGTTTTTCAGATGAGCAGTGCCTGTCTGGTTATTATCTTGAGTACATTGGCCCAGTGAATTATTGTGAAGTCTGTGAGGCCAGGGACCTCATCTGCTGTCTCCCTAGCGTTTCCGTAGTGCCTGCATTGGTACTCCGCAGGACTGGAAGGAAGCCGAAGCATCCTTAGCCTTTTGGTCTGGTGCTTTGCTGTGGATTATGCAAAGAGGAATGATGGAGGAGATACACAGTATATGAACTGTAGACTCTCCCCAGTCTTTGGCTGGACAGACTCTGAAGGGATGGTAGTCGAGGAAGCTATTGCCTTGCTAAGTGACCTGGATTCTGCCTTCAAAAATCTGCTTTTCTCTTAGGCTGTCCTGAAGGGAAGAAGATGGAATTTATTACCAGCCTGCTGGATGCCCTCACCACAGACATGGTTCAGGCCATTAACTCAGCAGCGCCCACTGGAGGTGGGAGGTGAGAATGTGAGCAAGACTCAGCTGTAGTCCTGGACTCCTCAGATACAACGGAGGGTGGGAGAGAGGCCAAGGGCTAGAAGTCTGTCCTTCTCCGGAGCATATGCCCACAGCTTTGTTCTACTTGTTGGTGAAAATTTCTCTGCTTCCCGGTCTCCGGAAATTTTGATCTGTTTTCCTCTAGCTTTGGCAGCAGGGTTTGCAGGCCTATTGGAAAACTTAACGATACTTTACCCAAAAGGGTAAAATGAGAGTCTGTCCCGCAGTACTGGGGATTGAATCCTGGGCCTCACATATGCCAGGCAAACGTTCTCCCTGAGATACATCCCCAGGACTGAAAATCCTTAATGGCGGGAAGGGTGGTGGGCACCTGCTGAGGGCAGGGCACCCAGGCAGAGCAGGGAGGACCACAGGGATTTAGTGATTTCCTTTCTCTCCTGAGAAGTCAGGAGCCATGTGTCCCTTTGTGATTACAATCCTGGCAATCACAAAGAGCTTCTCATAGGCAAAGCAGACTTGTTTCAGAAGTTAATATGATAGCTGGGGTAGTCACAGAGCTGAAATACACACGCTCTCTGGTAGCCAGACTCCTGGAGCCAACTGATTTGGGACCATTGTGTCAGTAGTTGGAACATTCATCATGCTTGCAACCCTCTTCTGAGTGCCCTTTGAATAAATCCAATATGTCAAGACCTTGACCAAGGACAAGGTATCCAGGGATAGGAGGCATGTCTCTCCCATTAAAGAAGGAAGATGAGTGGTGTACTAGACCATAGACAGATATTAGAAATGTGTAATGTATGGTAAGTGTAGTTTAGTATGGTAGGGTTGGGGGATAGAGAAAGAGGAAGAAGGATGGGAAAAGCAGAAGGAAGATGAGTGGATGGTAGTGAAGAAATGGAAGAGGGCAGTCAGATCCTGGTCTCAAGGGTCTGTGAGACCCCCTAAGTAAGACTTGCAGTTGTAAAGCCAGAGAGAAGGCATAGCAGGGCCTGGAGGCATCAGGAAAGGGAGGTGAGGGTGTTTAGGTTCCTTAAAGCAGCTGAAGGGGTATCAGGGCATGACAAAGATGGGCAGCCTGCTCTGGGTTTGTGCGGCTCACCAAAGGGGACCTTATTCCCCAGCGTCTCCCTGGAAGCAAAGCTACTGCAAAGAGCCATAGTGAGTAGACAGACCTAGGGCTCCAGCCCCCTTTGAAGGAACAAGTGTGGCAGTGGCCCCTGACTGGGGTTTAGGATGGGGACTTGGACCATGAGCACAGCTGTAATGGTTTTGCAGCCTCAGCTGGACAAAGTCAGTCAGGTTCAGAATTCTCTTTAAGTTGCATCTGAGTTATAGAACTCCTAGCCCTGGTGTGTAATAATCTAAGTTCCACCAAAGAATTAGTTAATAAGGAAATGTGGTATGTGCATGCAGTGGGGTAGTTTGTTTTTCAGTTTCAAGAAAGCAATTATGTCATATTGAGGACAAAGTGAAATAATCCTGTCACAAAGGGCAAATAACCATGATTCCACTTACATGGGGCAAATGTAAAGAGTCGATTTATAGAAATGTGTTTGTCAGAGCTATTGAAGACAGAAATGAAGGGTTCATTTGTTCATTTTAATCAGTTTTAAACAATGTCTTGCTATGTTGTTACGGTGTTCCAGTTCTGCAGCCCCCTCAAAGCCCCCAAATAACACATGAAACACTATATTAGTTATTAAACTGTTGGCCAATGTCTAGGACTTCATATTGGCTACCTCTGACTTAATTTCTAACCCATTTCTATCAATCTAAGTATATCCATGTGGCCTTATCTTACTGGAGAAATGTTTGGAGACGTGTTACTCCTCTCATATCCTATATCATGACCCTCTGCCTACGTTTCCCAGAATCCTCCTCATCTCCTACACCCCCATTGGCCACAGTGTTTTATTCATCAACCAATAAGATAAACATATACAGAAGAAGACCATTCCCCATCACTATGTAGCCCTGAATGGCCTTATGCTTGCTGTGCTTCTCCTGCCTCTGCCTTCCGAGTGCTGGGATCACAGGTGTGTGCAACCATACCTGCTGAAATGGGGACACTTTAGTCATTAGGCATCACAGTTCACTCTAGATAGTTAAGTTGTCATCCTGATGGTGCATGGTACAGTGTTGTGCTCTTCCAATCCTGTTAGGAGCACAGAGTTTATGCTCTGGGTCTTCACATAGACACAATCTTTAAAAGAAAGGAAAGGAACAAAACAGCTACACTAGCTATACTTTTTGAAAATACTTGTTTGGATGCTTAATCTGAGCACTTCAGGGTCCCATGAGCTCAAGGCTGGTTTCTGGTCATGGCTGATTCCTCTTACCTGGGGCATGCTGGCCAGGCCTCCCTCTAAGGAAGTACAACACAAAATCTGAGAAAGATGGAGACAAGGTCTGACAGGCCATGCATGAGAGCTGCTTCGAGGCTTCCTACAGTGCTCAGCAGCTCAGCATCTGAAACACAGGCAATGCACCCAGGTGTCAGGAAGAGGGGAAGGGTGAGTGTTGCAAATGTACACTATCACGTGCAATTGCCCAGAGCTTGCTCAACAACAGCTGTTTGATGAAAACCCAGGCATGAAGTGCAATAGCCCTATTTTGTCTTTTGTATCACTTTTTATGATTTCAGTTGTTCACAACCAACTACGGACCAAAACAATTAACTGGAAAATTCTAGAAAGAAAACAATTTATAAGCTTATTATAATCTTTATTGCAATGTTTTGTTATAGTGATCTTTTTTGTTATAGTGATCTTATTATTAAGCTATTGCTGCTAATTTCTACTGCTTAATATGTATACATTCTTCATTTGTAAATTAAGCTTTATCATAGGTATGTATATTAGGAAAACAGAGCATTTAGAGTTCTATATTATCAGTAGTTTCAAGTTTCATGGGAATCTTAGACTGTAGAAGGGAGAACTACTGTTTTTATGTTGTTTAGAAAAAAGGGAGTAAACATAAATAAGAAGAAGGCGTGGGCACAGAAATCTCAGGTCTGGGTGAGCCCACCCACCATCTCAGGGATTCTGGCTACAAGTTCTGCCTTGGTCCTGTAGAGACAAGACATTAACACCCCTCCCTCAGGCCCCCATAGGAAGGGGATCATAGACAGGTCCTACCACCACCAAGGGAAGTTAGGATTGGTGCTCTTGTGTCACAGGACAAAGAGATTTTCATATGCAGTAAAAAAACTAGGAAATTTATAACATCTTTCATACCAATGTATCCTTAGGGAAGGGCATGAAAAAAATTCCTTTTTTTTAGTTGTAATTTAGGGTCAGGGAAGTTTAAAAAAAAGCACTTTGTTTTCATTTTAAACTTATATTGGCTTGACAATGCTTGGTTTTGATAGGGTTGAAAGGTTTGGACTGTTTTGGGTATATGTGTTACCCAAGGGCTGGACTTTTAATCAACAGAAAGACAAGATAGATCAAGAAATAGTTTAAAAATCAGGCAAGAGAGTGGAGTGAAGAAGGAGAGAAAGTGGGGAAACATTGTATGGGAGGTTCCAGGGTTGCCAGCCTTCCTGGGCTCTCCTGGATTCTCCCATTACATCAAGCAGAACCCTGACTTGTACCTGAACGGCCCCCAGGAAAGTCCTGCTGGCCTTTTGCTCTTCTAGTTTTCCCTCCTACCATCATGCTCCAGTCAGTGGCCATTCCAGCTTCCTTCCACATGTTACTATGGCTGTCCTGGGACCCTCCACTCCAGTTGCCCCTTTATTCTAGAATGTCATTCCTCCTTTTCTGGTGACTGTCTGGTGTAGTGACAGACATCTCCTCAGAGGTCTTTCCCTGCTGTGAATTTAGATCCCACAGTAGACATTCAACACATGCTGGTGAATGCATATCCAGAAGGATGGTAGATGTGTAAACAGAGGGGTAGATCTGATAGCCCAGTGATTATTGCAAAACTAGATGGAAGGATGGATGCAACAGGGAAGTTCATTGTGATTCTTTTGTAAGTAGGGCCCTCCAGCACTCTGCCTCCCTCTGATGGACTTGGGATGCTGATAGACAGATGCTCACCAGCCACTCTTCTGTGATGCAGGGACTGGGTCATGGGGCTCCTGGAGATTGGGCAGCAGATCTGGAATAGGGCTGATGAAGAGAATCAGGATATACAGAGTTTCTGGGTGTCGGACTTGGGTTTGGAATTGAGATCTGGGGTCACAGGCATGAGGGTAAAGAAGCCATGTCCAACCATTCTGACTCAGGGTTTAACAACTAAAGAGGGACGTCAATAGACACCAGTGGGAAGCAGTCCCACATGGAGACTGTGGGAAGAAGGGAGAGAGCATGTTTGGGCAATGTAGAAAGTTGATCATCCCCTTCCCTACTCCTCAGACATGGTGATTGTCACACATGGCTTTGCACTGACTCTCACTTCTTAGCCTGCCCTTGCTATAAGCTCTATGCTTCCTCCTGGGGGACATCTGAAGAAAAGGGCACTGTCCTGGCATGGAGGAGGAGAAATACATACCCACGAGATTATAGTACAAAGGCAGTGTGATCACAGAGGCTGGTAAGAGGTTCCAGGACTAGGGGTAGGGAGGGCCCTGGAGAGCTGACAGGAGAGGGACTTTTCACTTACACAGGGGGAAAGGCCCAGCCCAGTTGTACCATGAATGGGGACTCCTCAGCAGGGAAACAGGGGCAATGAGACATGAGCAAGGGGTGGCATAATGGGAGGAATGGCGAAAGGGGTGTGGTTAAGTCTGGGGTGTGGTGTGGACAAGTAGGAGATGAAGCTGCAGAGCCGGACAGAGCCCAGGTTCTGCTGGGCCAACTGAGTCAATGCCAGAGACATTAGGGATCATGGTGGTTGAGAGCACTTTCGAACGACCATCCTGATGGCATTAGGATGCAAAAACAGGCAAAGTAAAAAGGGGGAGCAGGAGAACAGTTGTCAACAAGAGGGTGAAGGGAGCACAACTCAGTAGCGAGGGATGATTTACTGAAGCATTCTGCATGAAATAAATAGATTCTCAAGACAAGGTAGATGCAGGGAGAGGGAGAGAGGGAGGTGTCAACTTCACTCTCTGGCCTCCTAGCCTGATTCAGTGGCCAAAACCAGTGCCGCTCCAATCTAAAATTAGACAGTGTAGAGCTGGGTGTCTGTGGAAACATCTGTGGCTGGAGCATGCGCGGGGCACTACAAACCTCTTTAGATGACAGCCTTCCTTACTGAACCCTTGCCGGATGATTAACTTATACCCTTGGTTCCTTCCACTAGAGCTCTAGAAGGTAACACTCTCATTTGGATCAGCAGTTACTCATCAGCTAGACTGTCAGTCTAGAAGGACGGCTATCTACCTAGGTGTCAGTCTCTAGGGCACAGTCTGTGTGAGTCTCCCACTCATTCACATGCTTCCTAAGGAGAGTCTGCCAGTGGAGTGGCCTCATCCTCCTGGTTCATTGCAGTTAGTTGCCTGTTGATGGCTTTGCAAGGAAGAGTCTGGAATGTGGCTGACTTGGCATTTCCCAACTCCACCCGCTCAGCTGGTGGGGCTTGGACCCAGCTCCAGTTGGGGCTCAGTCGGTCTGCTTGGCTTGGCTCAGGCCTCCTGGCCAGTCTTCCTTACCTTCTCTAAAACTGCTTAGGACAGCAGAACTGGGACCTAGATCTTGGCCAAAGCAGGTTGTGGTAAATGGGCTTGGCTCTCCAGCTATGTGTTACAGCCAAAACCTGCCACAGCCAAGGCCACAGAATCAAAACTGAAAGTGCCGCAGAAGGATGGCCTTCACCTTCCCTAAAATTGGGAGAAGGCTAAGTGTGTCTGTTCATGGAGGGACCTAGCTCTGGTGGGTTTCCCTATCCCTGAAGACAGAAGTTACTAAAATAACCCAAAGGAACAGTCACTGAACTATTATATTCTGAATCTAGAATGAGGTATCATTTGGATGTAGCTTTTCCACACTACATCTGAGAAAACTTGGGCATTCTACCTACCCAAGTATCCAATTTAGAACTTGAGCCATGAAGGGGTCTTTATAGACATAAGTAAATACAGTTGATCTTAAGAGCCATTGGTCCCTCCAGCATAGGGTCCCAGCTCCAGTCTGAAGGACAACTTTGAACTTAGCAGTTCTTGTCCCCAGTAGGTATGTGTGTGTGTGTGTGTGTGTGTGTGTGTGTGTGTGTGTGTTTGCCATTGTCAGCCTATGCTGTGGTACCAGCTGCAGATGTCTGTAAAAGGATGCCTCCCGAGAGCCTTCAAGATGGCTCTTTGAGTGAAGGTGGCTTGCCACCAAGGCTGATGATCTGAGTCAGATCTCGAGAATCTATAGGGTGGAAGGAGAGAACTGACTCCCATGGGTTGTCAGACTGCCATGTGTATATCGTGGCAGTGCCCCCTCACACAGGCACACACACACACACACACACACACACACACACACACACATGAATGTAAAAGAGAAAAATGTAAAAGGATATTTCCAGAGAGCTGTGAGAACTGGAGGAGCCTGTGGGACATGACTTTGAGGTCAGGGTATAATGGCAGGAGTCTGTGATGCCAGGGTCTCTGACAAAGATGGATTGAGAGGCTCCTGGAAAGTCTGGGGGGAGACCTTATGTTCTGCCTCACCCCTATCTAATCACACCCCTGCAGGGGGGATCTCAGAACTGCTGAATTCACAGAGGTCTCTGGTGTTTTCTCTTGCACATGTTCAGTGTTGGTTTGGCTATTCAGGACTGGTGATAGGTCAGAAGTATAAAGGTTCTTGGAGTTTGTTCTGGTAAAGGTGTTGGGTTCCCAAGTATGGCCCTGCTGTCACCCTTTGAGGTAGAATTGAGGCTTTGTTGTTTAAGGGGACTTCTGGAGATCAAAGGGGTTCAAAAGCAGAGCCTGTGATAGCTGGGATGGAGGGGAAGGGTTGGGACAGGGTAGGCTGTGGGTTGGGGGGGGTTGGAAGGAACTCAAAAGGCCCCTCGGGAAAGGAGTCCTGTCTTTAGCCCAGCATTCTGCTGTGGGCTAGCCGCAGCAGACAGGGCATGCAGGCTAGCCATGGGGAGTCAGGCCTGCTCTGTACTGGAGGGTCTTGATGGGAGAGCAAAGAGGGGGCAGAGGAGAACTAGGAGGGCAGAGGGCCCAGGTGATGATCAGCCTGTGGCCAGCTCAGAAACAGCCTGAAGGCAGGTAAGGAGAGCTCTGACCACAGAGAACAGACAGGAGGGCGCTCCAGGAATACATGTTGGAGGGAGAAAGCCTTCCCTGGCAGGGCCTCTGGGTGGGATGACCTCATCCCTTCCCGTCTCAGCGACCGAGACTTTATTATTCCAGCCTTTAGGTAGACATGACGCTATGCCAAGCCTAAAGGTTAAAGGAAGAGCTGCCTTTGTCTTGGGGCACTCACCGCTCCCTGACTGCCTCCCCTGAGAGAGCCTTCCTTGGGAGCTCTTGTCTCCTCCAGAGCTTGGGGCCTCCCTAATGTTCCTCTTCCTGCACCCTGGCCGTCCCTACAGAGGTTTGGCCTGCCAACCCTGTGTGTGCTGCAGGGGCAGCCATGAAAGCGGGTGCTGCAGCTAATAAAGGAAGGGTAAAATTACACTTTGACACAGGCGGTGACACACTGCGGAGAATGGAGAATGTCAGCCTGCTTCAGACTCCCTGCACCTGGTTTTCATGGCAGAATAAGCAGATTCCCCAGCAGTCAAAGGCCAGTGACAACTCAGTGGCCCTGTCACATCTTCCCCAAGGTTCCCTCTGGGTGAAAGCTGTCAGGATGAGGTCCTACTGATATCCTTCTTAGAATCCGTGAAGCCACCTCATTAAGAATGGACTGGACAGCTACCCGAGAGAATTGGTTTTTTTTTTTTTTTTTTTTTTTTTTTTTTTTTTTGTGCAGCTTCCTTTTGCTTAAGCTTCATGTCCCTTGGGAGTCACTGTGAAGTAAGATGGGGGTTTTCAGCTTGTTCTTGGGCAAGGATGAGAAGTGGTCCCCTCTCTTCCAGACTGTAAAGCAAACCTGAAAGGGGTGTGGGGTGTCATATCAGCAAGTGCCTTGGACATTTTTTTTTTAACCAGGTGTATCTTCAGAGTGTACTAGCAGGTCCTGATCACTTGATCTAGGATCCCTGCTTACCAGTGAACTCCTGCAGTCACAGACCCTGCACACTGGTCATTTGAAATGTATAGGATCTCCACATCAGCCTCATTCCTCTCCTCAAGGGCAAGTTACCCAGGCATTTGAATATGGATCCTAGCTCATAGTCAGTGTTAAGGCTCCAGAAATTAATCAGGGTACTCATGTGTTTCTTTTCTTCTGTTCAGAAACTCCAACCAACCCCTCTGCAATTGACCTATCACTGGCTTTAATCATTGTAGATATTAGTATCACCCTGACTCTGAGTAAAGATGATACATAAGTAATTAATGAAACAGAGAGGAAGACCACTGCATGTACTTATACATGTAGCTGCTGGCCTTGTAACTTTGAAACCCAGAGATATTGACTGTGTCAGATGTGGTCATCACTGTGTATCTGGGCATCAAAGTGTGTTCCTGGTCACTCTAGTTTCTCTAAGAATTGGCTGGGGCTCTGGTTAAAATATGATCTCCTAAGTCCACCCAAGACCTCCTGAGTGGAAACCTTAGGCTGTAGAGACTCACCCCAGCAGGTCTAGAGTGTGCTTGCTTTAGAATCTGTTTGGAGCTGGGGCTAGGGATGCGGGTAGGGGAGGGGAAGGGTATGGGTCAGCAGTCAAAGTGTAAGCAGCAATCGTGAGAATAGATTCAGGTTTCAATGATTACTGTAAATGCTGGGAGCACACCTGTAATTCCAGCACTCAGAAGGTAGGCACAGAGCCCCAATGAATCGAGTGATGATCAAGGATGACTCCTTACATGAGCCCCAAACTTCCCCTTGTAAGCACAAAGCCACAGATCATGGGGAATACCACACACCCCATATGGCAGTCTTCCTATTTTGGGCTCTGCTTCTCTGAGATGGTGAACATCTGGAGGCTAGGCTGACATTTCCATTTCCTGCCATGGGTCCCATACACAAGTTCAGGAATGCATCCTGTTTGATAGTGATCTGTGGGTCAAGAGATGGACAGTTTAGATCCCAGCCATGGTTTGCTCAGGTGGACTAAATCTACGTAGTTTGTCTTGAGTGCCTATCTGCACAAGAAATGTCCTGGTTGTTTCAGAGGGCGAGGCAGGTCAATGAAGTAATGATCACTTAGAGACCCCTAAGGAAAGAGCTGTCGCTGCCTGATGTCTGGTAGCCCAGCATGAAGATGGTCTCGGTTTGGTCTCTGTCACTGCAACAAAATTCCCTGGGCTGGGTAATTTATAAAGAAAAGAGGTTTATTTTGGTTCATGGTTCTGGGAGTCCAGGGGCATGCCAGCATCCATTTGGTTTCTGGTGAGGATCTCTTACAGCTTCAACTAACTCATGTGGAAAGTAGAAGTAGGAAGTACTTACAAAGATGAGGTGGGGAGGGGCAGATACCTGCTTAACAGCAGCCTACTCTTGGAATAACTAACCCATTTCTGTAAGAACTGACCCACTCTCTTAAGAAGGTAATTAATCTCTCTGTAAGGGTCCACCCTCACTCCCCAACACAGACACATTGTAACTTCAGTATGAGTTGGCAGGGACAAATGCTTAACTGTAGCAAGTACCCTGGTGTTTGGCCACTTGGGAGAGAATGGGTGGGTGGCCCTGCAAGATACTGAGTAGTGTTCTCTGGGGCCCGGTTGTCTGTCCATGGCCCAGGTTCTCAGAGCCAGATCCCAGCCATACCCTGGAGGAGCGGGTGGCACACTGGTACTTCAGCCAGCTGGATAGCAACAACAGTGATGACATTAACAAGCGGGAGATGAAGCCCTTCAAGCGCTATGTAAAGAAGAAAGCCAAGCCCAAGAAATGTGCCCGGCGTTTCACCGACTACTGTGACCTGAACAAGGACAAGGTCATCTCACTGCCTGAGCTGAAGGGCTGCTTGGGTGTTAGCAAAGAAGGTGAGTCCTACCTGCTGTGTGCCTGGCCTCTTAATACCTTCCCAACCCAGGGGCAGGGACCAAGGGCCGTCCTGAGGAATGAGGTCCTAGACATCATGTATTCACCAGCTGTTTACTGGGAGTGGGCTGTGCTTCAGGGCTATTGCCTACTGCAGCTGTAGAATTGATGGATAAGGTTCTTATTCTTACACAGTCTACTGAGGAGACTTAATAGATAGTTATTCACATACTTTGTGATTAGTATTAGTTAGGCAGGCTAGACTGCAGGAAGTAACAAATAGACTCTCACATATTGTAACTCAACCTAGCAGAAATTGTTTATCTTTTATCTTGTCCATAGAGTAGGACAACATAGTTCCAGACTCTGTGTGTTCATGTGTTGTATGTAGTATGTATATATAGGTGATAGAACAAGAATAGGGACTCTTCTACATATCTCAAGGGATTGAACTGAAAATGATCCAGCTGCCTTCATCAATGGGCCTTTGGGGTCACTGTGGGGTCTGATTTATTCCCATCCACCATATAGAGTAAGCTTGGTCTTGTGAGGCAGTTCTCTGGAACAGTCTTAGAATTATGTGACCTGCACAAAATTTCTCATAGTTGACGAACTGGAACTCTGTTACTGAGCTGTAGCAACCGTAGAGAGGATGACAAGAGGCAAAGGAAGGCTAGACAACTCTTCACTCAAGTGGGGCCTTCATATAGCTGGCAAGGAGCCACTGCATTGGGAAGGCCATATTTGAAAGAGACTGCCCAGTGCTCATCCCAGGCCTATCCAGGGACACTCGGAGCTGAGTAAGGATTGTTGAGGCCTGACCCCGTCCCACTGCATCTCCCTTTTGTTCTGGGAGCTCTGGTGCATGTAACACCCAAAGCCAAGGCAGGGGAGAGTATGTTGACTTGGTCTACTGAACTGGGGAGCTCCCCCCGCCCCTGACATGGAGGCACCAGTGACTGCGAGTCCCAGCTGACACACAGGACTTAGAGGAAGCATCCAAAGGAACCTGTGCACTGGGATGCAGGACTTAAGGACCACCACTCATCTGGATGCTCCTCCAAATTCAGCCAGAAGCCGGCTGTAGATTTGAGTCATCTGAACAGTTTTTCCCAGAGACCCCTGGGTGTTTCCTGCTTCTTGTCCAAACTACCTTCCTGACTGCCCCCCCCCCACTTCCAAGGTGGCTGGAACACCTGTGTCTGCACATATGATTGTGACATGTCTGTATGCAATTGCAATGTGCATGTATTTCTCTGGCATGTCTCTGTGAACATGTAGGTACTTGCCCAAGGGCATCTCTATCTGTGTGTATACACATGTGTGCATGTCTATGCCTGTCTTTAAAAATTACATTTTTTGTATGTGTATGAGTGTTTCCCTCAATGTATGCATGTGCCTGGTGCCTGCAGAGGCCAGAAGAGACCCTGTTGGAACTGGAATCACAGACAGTTGTGAGCCACCATGTGGATGCTGGGAACTGAATCTGGGCTCTCTTCCAAGTGCAGCCAAGTGCCCTTAAGGGCTGAGGTGTCTCTTCAGTTCTTTATGTCCTACTTAAAATATATCTATGTATGCATGGCTATACATGTGTGTACATGATCTCTCCCTCCCTCCCTCCCTCCCTCCCCCTCC